CAGAAGAGATAAAGCGAAGTGAGCAATTTTGACATATAATAAGGAGATAGTATCAAAAGGTCTTGGTGATTATTGCTTCTGAGGTATAACAGAGAGGGAAAAGTGAAAAATGACTCCTTGGTTACTTGCTTGCCAAATTAGATGGATGGTGTGTTTCCTTTGTTGAAATATGGAATACTGAAAGAGAACTACACTTGAGAATGAAGAATATGAGTACAGTTTTGAACATGTTGAGTTTGACATATGATTGATAAAGCCAAATAGATATGGAGTAGGACGTTGGCTGTATGGAGCTGAAATTCAAAGAAGCATACAGTGTTGAAATCACCCATTTGGCAACTGGAGTAATAAGCATAGAATTGCATTGCTCGTAATTTGGCAAACAGGAGTAGCATTGATATATACCTTGGACATTGCTTTCGATGGTACATACATATTCTTCATATTTCTGCAATCAGAGTCGAGCAGTTTAGACATCCTAACCCCTCATATGCATGTGAAAGCTGGACAGTGAAAGAGGAGGACCGAAGAAGAATTGACACATTTGAATTGTGGAGTTGGTGAAGAATATTGAATATACCATGGATTGCCAGAACAAACTAATCTGTGGTGAAGGTTAAGGTTGTGTTTCGGCTTGGCTAGGCCATCATTCTCAGTGGTTTGGTAGTTATGTAATGAGGTAATATGGCAGTTATGTATTGATGTAGTCATCCTCCATGATGTTATTTGATGTAATCAACCAATCAGTTGTAAGGGGAATTTCCTTGGGGGTGTGGCCTGCATCCAATATAGACGTTCTGGCAAAGCTGTTTGCTTTCTCTGGATCCTGCATCCAGCTCGTCGTCATCTGACCTCCGGCTCTTGAACCTTGAGGCAGTGGCCTGCCATTTTACCTGCTGATCTTGGATCCGTCAGCCTCCGCACCCTGTGAGCCAGTGGCGTGCCATCTGATCTGCTGATCTTGGGTTCGTCAGCCCTGCAGCTATGTGAGTCAGGAGAAGCCTCCAGCCTGATGCCTAACTCATGGATTTGGGACTTGCCAGCCTCTACAACCAAATGAGCCATTTTGTTGAGATAAATCTCTCTGTCTCTATCTCTTTCTCTCTCTCTATATATATGGAGCTCTGGTCGCGCAGTGGTTAAGAGTTTGGCTGCTAACCAAAGGGTCAGCTGTTCAAGTCCACGAGCTGTTCCTTGGAAACCCTATGGGGCAGTTCTACTCTGTCCTATAGGATCACTATGAATTGGAATCGACTCGACGGCAGTGGGCTGGACTGTATATATATGTATATATCCTTCACTGGTTTCGCTTCTCTAGAGAACCCAGGCTAAGACATCTATCTTGTAAGACCTGCAGCCAGAGTGCTTCTTAGAAGTGAGGATGGTGAGACTTTGACTCACTTTGGACGTGCCATCAGAAGGGACAAATCCCTGGAGAAGGACATCATTACATTTGAAGTAGAGGGTCAGCGAAAAGAGTCAGACCCTCAGCAAGATAGATGGACACAGTGGCTTCAACAGTGGGCTCAAACATATCTGCTATTGTGAGGATGGTGCAGGACCAAGCACCGTCTAGTTCTGTTGTACATAGGGTTGCTATGAGGGGGCACCCATTCACTGGCACCTAACAAAACCCCCACCTGTTGCCATCAAGTCGATTCTGACTCATGGCAACCCTATAGGACAGGGTAGAACTGCCCCATAGGGTTTCCAAGGCTGTAATCTTTACAGAAGCCAACTGCCACAGCTTTCTGGAGTGGTTGGTGAGTTCGAACTGCTGACCTTCTGGTTAGCAGCCAACTCTTAACCACTGCTCCACCAGGGCTCCTTAACAAAACCACTAAACCAAAAACGCCAAACTCAATGCTGTCAAGTTGATTCCGACTCATAGTGACCCTGAAGGACAGAGCAGAACTGCCCCATGGGGTTTCCAAGGAGTGGTGGTGGATTTGAATGGGCAAGCTCTTAACAACTGCACCACCAGGGCTCCGAACACTACTGTATTTAACAGACTGGGCTATGAGGTCGGGCTGACTTGGGTTTTAACTCTTGCCCTACCAATTACTTCTCCCTCCCACTATTTCATTCCTCCTTACAAAGGTGAAGAAAAAAATCCTTTCTTAAAAAATTTAATATTTATATTGTATTTGTAAAATTTTGTTTTCAGAAATGAAAATCTACAGCTTAAGTAAAGGAAAACTTCCAAGTAAAATTCACTCATTTAAAAGGTTCATTGTTTTAGATTTGGGTTGCTGTTTGTGGTGCAGTGGTCAAGCACTTGGCTACTAATTAAAAGGTCAGTGGTTCTAATCCACCAGCAGTCGTGCAGGAGAAAGATGTGGCAATCTGCTTCTGTGAAGATTACAGCATCCAAAACCCTATGGGGCAGTTCTACTCCATCCTATGGGGTCGCTATGAGTCGGAATCCACTTGATGGCAATGAGTTATTTTTGCTTTTGCATTTTCTGTGAAAGAGAAGGCTTACAAAACAAATGAAAAATGTAATATCAAACAAAATATTTACCAAGGTAGAAGATTAGACCTGTCAAGCACTTAGAAGTCTTTGTTTATATACAAATAAAGCGATAATGTAAGCAGACTCCAGAACTCCTGACTGATGCTTTGATATGCTATTTACAAATCAGTCTAATCTGCTCCTTAAACAGACCTCATTCAGGGAGTGCCTGTTTACCTAAGTTCCCAGAAGTCTAAGTGTAGGGGATTCTCTGTCACAGGACATCCATATTCTCAATGCTTACTCTTTCTGCATATCTAGCGTACAATAGCAATTGATTCTCATTGTGAGGAATTTTAAGCGTTTGAATTGCCTTTTGAAAAAATGAAAGATTACTTGATGTTCAGAATAAGGACAAAAGTAAGAGAACATTTATTGGACACCTTCGTTGTTCCGGGTTCTTTGCCATCTGTCATGAATACATTGTTAAAATAATCCTCACAGCAGTTACCTGCGTTTGCAGAGGACACTGAAGCCTGGAGATCCTTGGAAAATTTACCTAAGCCGCCCAGCTAGTAAATGGCGGTGCCGAGACCTGAACGTGCATTTGAGGGATTAAAAATCCTCTTGTGTTCTATTAATCCACTCTTTTATGGCTTTAGTGCAAATATTCAGATTTTATCATTTTTTGAAAAATGAATAGTCCAGATATGGTATATTTAACTCTCTGTCAAGGAAAATAATGTATCTTACCAAGTTTCTCAATTACCAACTTTATTTTACTAGAGAATATTTTAAAATTTGATTTCTTTAAAAATTACAATACAGACTTTTCATTTATTCTCATAGGCCTTTCCCATAATTACTGTGGGGAAAAAAGAAAATCTTCCATTTACATTTAAATTAATTACTGATAAGGAAAGATTTGCCTCTGCCATTTAGCTATTGTGTTCTGTATGTCTTATATGATTTTTCCCCCTCATTTCCTCCTTTACTGCTATTTAAAATTACTATTATTTAGCTGAATTTTTAGAGTGTACCCTTTTGATTTCCTTCTTTCCTTTTCTGTATTTTTTTTTAGTTATTTTTTTAGCGATCACTTTGGGGGTTACAATTATCGTAAACATTTAACAATTTAGTTGGAATAATACCAGTTTAGTTTCGATAGCAACCACTCTGCTCCTATACACCGCCATCCCTCCCCCTTTATACTGTTATCATCACAGATTACCTCTTCATACATTGTTTGCTCATTAACATAGATTTATTATTATTGTTTAGGCATTTGCCTTTTAAATCATAGAAAAAAGGAGGAGTTACAAACTAAAAATACGGTAATACCACAGAGAGAGAGAGACGGAGAATGAGAACCAGCCATTCTGAGTACTGTAATGTACTGAATAATAGTCTAGTGCTCCCACTCCTCAGATATTGCTGATTTTTGCTTGTTAAGGTCTGGAGCCATCAGTTTGCGACTTTTCCAAACTATTTTTGCAAGGTGTGTATTCCTTGTTACATTTATTCACTGAAGTTTCTGTTCAAAAAGACAGTCTTTTTTCGACCGTGCCATTAAGACAGTCTTCATATATTGCTTTCTGCTGTTTCTTTCTTCTTTAATTGTACTTTACATGAAAGTTTACAGCTCAACTTAATCTCTCATACAAAATTTTATACACATATTGTCATGTGACACTAGTTGCAAGCCCTGCAATCTGACAGCACACTCCGCCTTTCTACCCCGGGTTTCCTGTGTCCATCCAACCAGCTCCTGACCCCCTCTGCCTTCTCATCCTGCCTCCGGGCAGGAGCTGCCCCATTGGTCTCATGTGTCTGCTTGAACTAGTAAGTATACTCTTCACAAGTATTATTTTGTGTATTATAGTCCAGTTTAATCTTTGTCTGATGGGTGGTCTTCAGGAATGGTTTTAGTTCTGGGTTAACATGGTGTCCGGGGGCCATGGCCTCAGGGGTTCTTCCAGTCTCAGTCAGACCATTAAGTCTGGTCTTTTTACTAGAATTTGAGTTCTGCATCCCATTTTTCTTCTGCTCCGTCAAGGACTTTCTGTTGTGTTCCCTGTCAGGGTGATCATTGGTGGTAGCCAGGCACCATCTAGTTCTTCTGGTCTCAGGCTGATGAAGTCTCTGGTTTATGTGGCCCTTTCTGTCTCTTGGGCTAATACTTATCCTTGTGTCTTTGGTGTTCTTCATTCTCCTTTACTCCAGGTGGTTGGGGCCAATTGATGCAGCTTAGATGGTGGCTCAGAAGCTTTTAAGACCCCAGATGCCACACACCAGAGTGGGATCTTCCTGCTATTTCTTATTGTGTGAAATGCGCAGCCCTCCAGACACACATCATCATCCAGTCATGTAGAATATGTTGCTAATCTCTCCATAATGTTGTTTTACAGAAGGAGAACTTGAAGCAGAATGGTTGCAAGATGTGGGTTTATCAACTCTGATCTCAGGTGATGAGGAGGAGGATGGGAAGGCCTTGCTCTCTACATTAACTCGAACCCAAGCAGCTGCAGTAAAGAAGAGATACAACACCTACACTCAGACCATGAGAAAAAAGAACAAGCAGTCTGTCAGGGATGTCAGGGACGTCTTTGGAGTTAGTGAATCTCCTGTAAGTAATGAACATGCTATAAGAAGTGTTTCGGTTTGTTTTTTTGACGGGGGTGAGGAGGGGTGGAAAATGTCAGAAAAAGCCGGTCACATTCTAGCTTTCAGAGAAAACTAAGGCAGACAGCACAGTACAAAATTTTACTAATTAAATGATCATTTCTTATCTCCCATACTGCAATCTTCTATCAATGTTACATTTCTTCCGTTCTTTGTTGAAGTTGGAGAGTAATTTCTTTAGCAATGGGACAAGTTTTCATGGATGGCGTACACAGAGCTTTTACTTAAATCTCAACTCTGTGAGGGAGAGTCTAGGGTAGGGCAGATGAGTCCCGGGACGTGGGCCTATGGATTATAAACAAGCCCAGGTGGTTTTAAATGGGTTGGTGTGGTAGAGTGGGTATGGAAGCCTTTATGTTTCGATAACTTGAAATGGTAAAAATGAGAGATGTCAGCATTCATTAAGCAGGCAAGAGAATAATTAAGGGAAGCATCCAATGTTTTATGAGGAATGATTGAAATTCCACCCTTCCCTCAGCACTTCCATGGCCCCAGTTTTACATCTGAGGCTGTTAGTCCTGTTCTCCTGTTTCTACCTGTGTTTTACTCCTAACCAGTTGCAGTCCAGTCAGCTCTGACTCATGACAACCCCATATGTGTCGGAGTAGAACTGTGCTCCATAGGGTTTTCAGTGGTTGATTTTTTGGAAGTAGATCTCCAGGCCTTTCTTCTGAGGTTCCTCTGGGTGCTCAAACTCTCACCTTTTGGTTAGCTGTAGATCACTTTAACTGTTTGCACCACCTGTTTTACTGCTCGCCCCTCCTTACAACCTGTTGATCCATTCATTCATTGATACAACAAATACTGAATACATTCTCTATGCAAAGTACTAACTACATCAGGTTCTATGCAGGTAGGATTCTTGGAACTTCGAGGGTAATGAGTATACAGAGAAAAGAAAACTTGATATGCTGCTGCAGTTCCAGATAAAGAGATGGCCTGAGGCAGGTTAGTTAATCATTCTGATTTAGGTTTCTTATCTATTTAATTATAATATCAATAATGACATAAATTAAAATTTTAAGGATATTGAGTAGAAAGCATGATTGAAGGCACTCTTCAGTTCGATTTATTTTAGCTTGTAACTTATGTCTTCCCTTAGATATATTAATTACATTGGGTAGTTGCCAGGGCAGCTCACATATGCCTACTTAACCAGTAATGCATCTGTGCCAATAGTATTCTAGAATAGCGCTGTTCTTTAGAACTTTCTACAATGATGGATATATTTTATTTCTGTGCTGTTCAATATGGTAGCCACATGTGACTTGAAATGTGGCTAGCGTGACTAAGGAAGTGAATTTGTTATTGTATTTAATTTTAATTGATTTAAATTTAAATAGCCACGTGTGGTTTATAGCTAATGTACTGAACACTGTAGTTCTAGAATCTTCTGTGCTATATAACAACATGCATTGAGGTAAGTGAATTTTGAATTCTGTGCTGTTTGAACTTTCAGCCTGATTGAAACCTGTGTCTTTCTGGGTGGTGCAATTTTCTCCAGCTGTAAAGCTGACTCCCACAACTGGAGGCAAGGGCTCCAGTTATAGGCATCCTGGCCAAGATGACTAACAAAGAACAGATTTGCCCTGCTGGTTTGAATTCCCTGAGTCAGTGTTGACTTATCGCCAAGATGATCTTCAGACGGTACTAAGAATTTGTCCTACATGCTTCCTTCTCCACCCCCATTTTCAGGGTTTTTGCCATTCCCTAACAAACTGCAGAATACGAAAGGGTCCGTAGGCCTCTCCTTAATCCTCCAGTTACTCAAGAAAGTGCAGACGTTACCTCTTTAGGGCTTGCTGTAACTTTCTGTCACTGCCTTTGTCATCTAGTGCTGCTTCACAAGTGGATGGCTTTGACAAAGCCTTATTCTCTCACAGGCCAGTAGGCTACAAGTCCAAATTCAGGGCATCAGCTCCAGGAGAAGGCCCTCGGTTTTGGCTCTGGAGGAAGGTCCTTGTGATGCATCAGTCTTCCCTTGGTCTGGGAGCATCTCAGTGCGGGAACCTCAGGTCCAAAGGCTGAGCTCTGTTCCCAGTACTGCTTTCTTGGTGGTATGAGGTTCCCATGTGTCTCTGCTCTCTTCTCTCTTTTATATCTCAAAAGAGATTGGCTTAAGACACTATCCAATCTTGTATACCTCATCAGTATAACTGCCACTAATCCATCTTATTAGATCATAGTGATTGAATTTACAACACATAAGGAAGTCACATCAGATTACAAAATGGTACACAATCATACAATACTGGGAATCATGACCCAGCCAAGTTGTCAGATATTCTTGGGGGACACAATTCAATCCATGACAATCGCCAAGGCCATATTTTCCAACTACCAATCCTTTATTTCCAAATTGCGTATTCCAATTGCATTCCAATCACATTCGAATCAATGCATCTTGATTGTATGTTTGATCAATTTCAGACTGCAGAAGTTGATACAAGTCTTCAGTTTCTTCATCTTTGGCCTTACTGGTTAGTGTGTAAATTTGAATAATTGTCATATTGAGTGGTCTTCCTTGTAGGCATATGGATATTCTCCTGTCACTGACAGCGTTGTACTTCAGGACAGATCTTGAAATGTTCTTTTTCACCATGAACGCAACACCATTCCTCTTCAATTTGTCATTCCCGGCACAGTAGACCACGCTTGTCTGATTCATAATGGCCAATACCAGTCCGTTTCTAGGCTCCCTGATGCCTAGGATATCGATGTTTATGCATTCCATTTCATTTTCGACAGCTACCAGTTTTTCTCCCCCATGTGTCTGTCAGTTTGTCGTACTGTGGCAGCTTGCGTGTTGCTGTGATGCTGGAAGCTGTGCCACTGGTATTCAAATATTAGCAGGGTCACCCATGGTGGACAGGTTTTAGCTGAGCTTCCAGGCTAAGATAGACTAGGCAGAAGGACCCAGTGGTCTACTTCTGAACAGAATTAGCCAGTAAAAACCTTATGAATAGCAGTGGAACATTGTCTGATATAGTGCCAGAAGATGATCCCCTCAGGTTGGAAGACAATCGAAATATAACTGAGGAAGAGCTGCCTCCTCAAAGTAGAGCCGACCTTCATGATGTTGATGGAGTCAAGCTTTCAAGACCTTCATTTGCTGATGTGGCACAACTCAAAATGAGAAGAAACAGCTGCAAACATCCACTGATAACTGGAACATGGAATGTAAGAAGTATGAATCTAGGAGAATTGGAAATCGTCAAAAATGAAATGGAACACATGAAGATAGATGTCCCAGGCATTAGTGGGCTAAAATGGACTGGTATTGGCCATTTTGAATCAGACAATCATATGGTCTGCTAAGCCAGGAATGACAACTTGAAGAGGAATGACATTGCATTCATCATCAAAAAGAACATTTCAGGATCTATCCTGGAGTACAACGCTATTAGTGACAGGATGATTTCCATACACCTACAAGGAAGACCAGTTAATACGACTATTACTCAAATTTACACACTAACCGCTAAGGCCAAAGATGAAGAAATTGAAGATTTTTACCAACTTCTGCAGTCTGAAATTGATCAAACATGCAATCAAGATGCATTGATAATTACTGGTGATTGGAATGTGAAAGTTGGAAACCAAAAAAGACGATAGTTGGAAAATATGGCCTTGGTGATAGAAACGATGCCAGATATCGCATGATAGAATTTTGCAAGACCAATGACTTCTTCATTGCAAATACCTTTTTTCAACAACATAAAAGGCAACTATAAACGTGGACCTTGCCAGAGAGAATACACAGGAATCAAATCTACTACATCTGTGGAAAGAGATGATGGAAAAGCTCAGTATCATCTTTCAGAGCAAGGCCAGGACCCAGTGTGGAACAGACCATCAATTGCTCATATGCAAGTTCAAGTTGAAACTGAAGAAAATTAGAATAAATCCGCGAGAGCCAAAGTGCGACCTTGAGTATATCCCACCTGAATTGAGAGACCATCTCAAGAACAGATTTGACGCATTGAACACTAATGACCAGAGCCCAGGTGAGTTGTGCAAGGACATCATCCATGAAGTAAGCAAGAAGTCATTAAAAACATAGGAAAAAGAAAAGACCAAAAATGAATGTCAGAAGAAACTTTGAAATTTGCTCTTGAAAATCGAGTAGCTAAAGCAAAAGGAAGAAATGAAGTAAAAGAGCTGAAGACAAGATTTTAAAGGGTGGTTAGAGAAGATAAAGTATTATAATGACATATGCAAAGACCTGGAGATAGAAAACCAAAAGGGAAGAACATGCTCAGCATTTCTCAAGCTGAAAGAACTGATGATAAAATTCAGGCCTCGAGTTGCAATATGGAAGAAGTCTACAGGGAAAATATTAAATGATGCAGGAAGCATCAAAAGAAGATGGAAGGAATATACAGAGTTACTATATGAAAAAGAATTGGTTGATGTTCAACTGTTTCAGGAGGTGGCATATGATCAGAAACCAATGGTACTCAAGGAAGAAGTCCAAACTGCACTGAAGTCATCGGCAAAAAAACAAGCGTCCAGAAATTGACAGAATACCCATTGAGATGTTTCAACAAATGGATGCAGCGCTGGAAGTGCTCACTCGTTTATGCCGAGAAATTGGAAAGACAGCTACCTGGCCAACTGATTGGAAGAGATCCATATTTATGCCTATTCCCAAGGAAGGTGATCCAACCAAATATCACATGCAAGTAACATTTTGCTGAAGATCATTCAGAAGCGGTTGCAGCAATGTGTCAACAGGGAACTGCCAGAAATTCAAGGCAGATTCAGAAGAGGACATGGAACCAGGGATTTTATTGCTGATGTCAGATGGATCCTGGTCGAAAGCAGAGAATACCAGAAAGATGTTTAGCTGTGTTTTATTGACTATGCAGAGACATTCAATTGTGTGGATCATAACAAATTATGGATAATATTGCAAAGAATGGGAATTCCAGAACACTTAAT